AGGTTAAAACGGTCGCCATAAAGACCACATTAAGAAGCCATTGCTACTTAACTCCAGTTCCAAACGAGGGTTGCATGTTCCTTTCAATTGGGCGTTCCAAATCATGACCTACAGCACGAGGCGATAGACAGTACCAGATAAAATTGAAGTTACTAAGGGACAGGCCAATATGTCATGCGGGAATAAATGGATCTTCCAGGACCTCCCTAATTTTTTTTTCGGTCGCCAGCGGATTTTACCCGGAGGTCGGCACGGGAACAGACGAGACTGGTTCCTACCTCCACCTGAGACCGGACCTCACCAAAGCGCACTAATATGTTGTGCAAATATTCCCCCGCCAAAATGTGTTCATTTTTGTGACATCGTCCAGTTATAGTGCTTGATCGATGTCTGATGTTTTTCTGATCTTTGACGTGCACACGTGTAAACGAGAAATTTCGTGTATTATCCATAGTTTTTCTTGTGTGCGGGCAGAGAAGGAGGACGTAAGAGAGAACCGTATGAAGAAGTCCAACAAGGGTGAACTGAAACTTTACATTGATTTTATATCGAAAATAGGCGAGAGGGGCACGTTTAGTGTTCGTGAACTGAGTGTTAGTTGATCAGTCGAAAATGTTGAGAAGAATTTACTGTTGGTGCAGTAGCAATCATCGATGCTGGATGAATGGATGGGATAAATGCGCTGATGTTGGTCGTATTAGAAGTTTCAGTTGTGGATCGGCGTGTCTAAAAGAGGAGATAGCGAGATGCTGAATTTCTAATGGCCGAGCACGAATTAGGACCTGTTGCTAGGGCGTGGGCGCAGGTTAGCTAGCCATGCACGTAGCCTTTCGCAATGAACATCCAAATCGATACGGTGGTTGAGAGTACTAAACTTCGAGGAGTTCGCGCGCCTTTTTGTTACTGGTCATGAAGATCACTTCAGCACTCTCCTAATTGAAATGATGGTCACGCTTAAGGTTGTGCGCAAGCAAAGCTGGCCGTGTAAAACCTGAATTTAAATGAAATACCTACGTACAGTAGATTTTTGTCAAGTAAACAGTAAGGGACGACGCGTTAGTCTCACCAAATTGAAAGTTTATGCGTACAACTTGATTGTTCGAAGAGCATTTTACTTTTCACTTTACTTCCCTTATGGAATATATAGATACATATACATATATATATATATATAGATACATAGATATAGATGCATAGTAGACCATTGGAAGCAGGCTAGAAATAACCACATCTGGCTTATAAAACCTATACAGCAGGTCACACCTCAATCCTCAGTATAAACAGCTTAGCCTTTGAATCCGGAGTTTTGTCTCGGTGTATTAAATCAAACAAATTCTCAATGCATAATGGCCTCGAAGCTGCGTTTATATTGTGGAATACATGATGCGCCGATTTATTACAAGAAAGGCTATGTTCGTTTCCGTTTGTTTAGTATCCAACCAAGAGTTTGAGCAGGCGGTCACTTTGAAACATCGAGGGTTCTTCGCAGTCATTACATGTAATTATGTCCATCAACGCCTTTGATTAGGGCTTTAAGACAAAACGCGATAA